ATGTACGAGGATAGCTCATTTTCATAGAATATTACAGCACATAAGGAGGCCATTCGGCCCATCGTGTCTGGGCCAGCTCTTTGGAAGAGCTACCCAATCAGTCCCACTCCCCCGCTCTCCCCATGTCCTTGCAATTTTTTCCTCTTCAAGTACCTATCCAATTCCCTTTTGAAAGTTGCTATTGAATCTGTTTCCACCCATCCTTTCAGGCAGTGCCTTCCAGATGTCAACTCTCTTTGCTGCCCAGCTCCAGGAGTATTGGGAGACCCATCAATTACTTGGCGAGGGGGAATGGCCACATGGCTGAGTTGTTGCCGAATTTCTTTTTGTTCAATAGAATCATAGAACGTTATAGCACAGAAACAAACCGTTTGCATTGCCCGAAGGCTATGCTGGTATTTTTCTCCGCTTGACTCAATCTAAGTCACTCTCCTACTCCCTCCTCAGAACCATTAATATTCCCTTCTCTCCAAAAGTGCATTTAATTTGCTAAAGAGTTTACAGACTTGGCCTCGACTGTAATAATAACAATAATAATCCTTGCATTTGATACAGCGCCTTACCACATTTTCGGGCTGTCTCAAAGCGCTTCGCAGAATATACTGTAAAAATGTAGTGACTGTATACTTTGTGGGTGAAACTCGGCACAATCCTCTGTACAAAACAATAATTTCTGACCTCCCCTTTAAATATTTTTGCCACTATCTTAAATTAGGTACTGACTGATAGAAGTAATTGTCTTATTACTATTTATCCTACATAATCCTTCATAATCTCGAAGCCTGTTAATAGGCCACTCCGTAACCTTATCTTGGTGATAACAGCCCTGAATTCTCAAGTCTTTCCTCATAACTGCTGTTTGCTATTGAATTAATCAGTGTGACAATGGCCCAATTGCTTGATTTCAAGAAACATTGACATCTGTTAATAGCCACTTTTGCAGTAACATTCCTTAGACAGACAGACCATGCATTGCAAGTAGAGTCCTATAGCTCAGTGGTTAGAGCACTCGCCTTGCAAGTGAGACACCTGGGTTCAATTCCAGGCAGGGGGTGAAACCTTGGGCAAGTTTCCTTACTCCACACAGAGCCTAATAATAATACGTCCAAAACAAAAATAAATAAATTGGTTATTTTCAATCCACGACTGTTTGTGGGACGCTGCTGTGCGCAATTGGTTGCTGCGTTTCGCCCACAAATATACGGTCAATTCACTTTACAGTATATTCTGTGAAGTGCTTTGAGATGTCTAGAAGACATGAAAAGCGCTATATCAAATGCAAGGATTATTATTATCATTATTAAATGCAAGGATTATTATTATTATGATAAGTGTAATCTGTCTCTGTGTCCTTTTCTTCTTTTGTCTGTTGTTGTAAAACAAGAAGGAATTCTTAATAAAAAAAATTGTCAAGTTAAAAAAAACTCTAAATACAGTATAACTATAACATGGCTCAGGGCATAATCCAAATGCAGCCCTACCATGCTGTTTTCTGCATGAATAATACAATGCAAATCACTGACCCACTGCTGTGACTCATTTCTTAGCTAGAACATGTGTTTTTTTGCTTTATTATATTACCAACAGGACTCAATGTTGTGCGGAAGTTGGACCTGCGTATAGCTGTTGTATCGTCCTTCTGTTTTAAGCAGATGGTGTGCTGATTCTAGCTGTCATGTTGATGTATATCACGTAATTCATGTGTGCGTTACTGTTACATAAATATGCTGTATTGCTGTTTGCAAATAGGAATTTATTTTTCCAAAGCATGATTGGCGAGAAAATTCACCCATTCATATTGCTGACCCGGTGTATAGATATTTTTGCAGTATTTTTTTCGGGAAAGTAAGTCCAGAACATGATATCTGGTGATTGAAGATCTGCTGTTACATAAGGTTTATTGTAATGCCTTTGTCTAGTTTTAATGAAACCACATGAATTCTGACATTGTGGGTAAAGGCTTTTAGCACTGTGAGCCATGCAGGTGAGAGAGAATTTTCTTAAATGGGCAAAGCTCTTGAGAATAGGAAGACCCACTTGGCCTACTTATTTATCATTAGCTTGTGCAATTCCGCTCGTGATGTCAGTGGGTGATTTGGACAAAAATGATGACACTTCCAAATTTAAATCACTTCTCCCTCAGCCCCCCCCCCCTCCCCCATTAGTCGAGGATTTATTTGCATTATTTTATTTCTAAAGCCAATTTTCCCAAATCACTTGTTAACACGGAGTGCCAGTTAAATGCGCCACTTGACGTGCGCTAATAGAACCGTGTCCGAATCGATATTCCAAATCCATTTTCAAACCGGAGGAAAACTCCATTTAAACTGTTCGGGTATCAACAGTAAGTGCCGTGTAACGTACACACCACCAGGTGCTGCTGTTGCCTGTCTTATCCATCGAGATCATTGCGACCATTTTAGTCAATTTAAAATTCTGAAACAGTGATAGCAACGACAACAACTTGTGCTCACCCAGCGCCCCTCACCCAGCGTCCCGGAGCAAAAAATAATCGTTGCTTTTTATGTAGTGCCTAGAAACATCGAACCCAAATAGTAAGGATTACCTAAAAGTCTTAAAGGGTTTAATACGTAATTGATGTCAAGTGTAGCCACATTGTTGGTGTTGGCAAATGTGGTGGCTAATCTACACACAGCAGGTCCCACCGACAACTTGCCAATTTATCTGGAGGATTGTTGGCTTGGACAAGGGGAGAAACTCCCTCCTTGTGTCAAGAGGATTGACTCAATTCCGACATTCCCTTGCCAAGCAAGTCAACTTGGAGCCAGTTTAGCTTACCTCCTCCCCAAGGAGGACAATTTATTCCCACTATTTAAATCTCACCAGATATTAAAGGAATGAACAAACAGTTGCTGGGCATATGGTGTTTGTGGATATTTATTTATACAGAGCAGTTTCTTTTCGTTGCCCTTAAAGGTGCCATCTCATGCTGGTGATGAAATTTCCTGGATCATTGTCATTCCTACAGTGATTTGCTCAAGTTCTTCATGGGTGAGCCTAAGCTAAACCTGAACCCTAACTACCTAAGGGGATGTCTGGCATGCTTTTTTCTTTACATGCATTTGAAATATTGCTGTACCCAAATTGGCTGCCACGTTCAGAGTTACAGTGAATCGTTTGACCATGCTTTCCGTCATCTTTCCACTCCCTGCCTCCCCCCTCCACAACACCCAACACCTACCCCTAGCTCAGGTGCCAAACCAGTAGCATTAAGTGGCTCGGGACATCCTCCCGACGTGAAAGGCGCTATGCAACTGTAAATTTTCATTGTGTCTGAAGTGCTTTGAGATGTCCTCCTGGTGTGAAAGTTGGTGTATCAAATGGAAGGATTATTTATTTGTTGGTTATTATTTGAGGTTAGTGATTGACACTGTTGCCCAACAGTGATTTATAGGAGCACCAGCCAGTTGAGCATGTCCTGCCAGTTTATTAGATCATGGATGATTTTGTTTTACTCGGGTGTAGGTTCTGCTGTTTTTTTGCCAGCATCCATTGCCCATCATTAGCTACTCTTTAAACTGCTGTCATCTTTATGGTGATGGGGCTCCTACAACGTTGATCCCTTTTCTCCATATTCTGTATTCTGCCTTCTCAAGGATCTGGCCTATCGCTCTGTTAATTGACTCTGTCTATACTGTACCACCAATGTACAGCATAAATGAGCGTTTATGCAGTAATGACCCACTGCCGGTCAAATATATTCCCTATTTTTAGTTGATATCTCAACCCCCTACTGCCACCCCAATTTTTAAATCATTAAAATTTGCAAACCTGAAGAAAGCTAATTTATCAAAACTCGCTGAAGAGGAAGTGTGTTTTCTGTTGAATTGTCACATAGTCTTTAAACATGATAAAAATAGGTATCTGCACATTTAATTGGTGTCTTTCCAACTGTCTCCCGTTGCTGAGTTTCATACTGAATAACAGGTCGTTAGAGAGATCTTCAGAAAAGCCATTTTGTGCAGTATTTCCCAAGTGGCTATCTGTCATTTTTGTTCTGTTCTCTACATGCATTTGGGATATTGCTGTGCAAGCTGGCTGCCAAGTTGGCCTACAAATGTACTCAGTCACTACACTTTGCAGCGATTCCTTTGACCTTTGAATGCTTTTGGTCGTTCCTTTTTTTTAAAAACAAGCAAAAGCAATTTTTCAATGCATTGTATTTAAATCAACTCCGATGGTTTCTTTTGCCAACAGGACGGTTTGATGATGGGCTAGTTTTATACTGCCTCGCTGTCCCAGTTAACGTGCTTGAAATTGCGTTTGCATTTTAAATGAGATGTTACATTGAACAGATGGCTCCACTTTATAAAGCAATAGCGTCCGAAAGACGACGTAAAGTGATCCTTTGGCCCATGAGCACAATTTTGGCAGTATATGAACACCCTACAGCCTTGTTCCATTTTAATGCCAGTGTGAGTGTGTTAGTTACCCCTCACCCATTCCCCCCCCCCCCAAGGCAGGGCAGGAACTAAAGCAGCTTGAAACAGGTTGGTAATGAAAATAATTGATTGTTAATTATATCATTTAGGGCACCTGTAATTCCCTCTGTACACACGAGGCATAAAGCACCTGTGTTTGCACATGGTTTTCATATGCTGCGTTCACCACAAGTGTTTGAGTGTCTCTCTCCCCATTGTCAGAACCCTCTATTTTCTCTTCACATTTTCGCACTCTGAAGTTGGCTACTAACAATTCTGCAACGTGCAGTAACATTTAGGCCCTGAAGTAAAATACCTGCTGTTTAACTTGCATTTGAAGCTCAAAACGTCCACATGCTTCCCCTTTTTTGAGCTATCTGACTTGAACAATGCAACTGTGTGATGAATGACTCCAGTCGCTGTTTTGATGCAGACATCAGTTGTAACATTTACTGGTCAGAAATTAAACTCTCGGCTCTCATTTATCTCCTCGTGCATCAAGCTAGAGGTCGGGGAAATCATGTCTGCAGCACCTTCACTTATTTGTTTCTCTTTCAGCCGCTACAAGAATTGTGCATCCTCCAGAGGATTTGGTAATAAAGAGGTCCAACACCGCACAATTGAAATGTCACGCTGTGTATGATTCAGCTTTCAAGAGGGACTTTGAATTATCCTGGAAAAAGGATGGGGAAGAAATTTATGTTGATCAAACAGAAAATGACAGGTACGATTGAATATGTTGTTGGACAGCCTAGAATCACTTCCATTCCATTCTCAGTATTAACAGTACCACCAGCAGGTATTTGTAAGATGTGCCGAAACCTGGCCTGTAAATTGAGACTGAATGAAATAATTTTCCGCAATTTTGTATCATCTTAAACGCGAAGACGAAAATGATCTTACAGGCCGAAACGAGGTGGAATTTCAGACCACTGATGTCCACAGCATGTTTGGCATATCTTTTTATATTACGTATGCAGCAAACATTTCCCTGCCAAAAAATCACAGTGTAATACGGTTCAATATCAACACTGTGCTCCTCCGCTCTCTGTGATATGACCAAACTGGCTCCAATGTGAAATGACATTTTCTAATAATGTGATCGGATGGCCAGATAGATCCAGTGAAGGAATCTTTTGGGAAGTTCGTGAGATGGATTAAAGGGGCAAATAGTTCACGCCTGGCTGTTAACTGTATCTTGTTACATATGTATAATTACAGATATATTGTAATATAATATGTATCATATCTAATAATATATATTATACTATGCATATAGATTGAAGAGTTTTCACTGTCAGTGTGCTGCCTATAATTTTGTATCCTTACAGAATATTTATTGAGGACGATATCCTTCAGATCATCAATGTGGATGAAGACGATGAAGGGACGTACACCTGTGTAGCACGAACCCCCCTGGACAGTGTGATGGCTGAAGCGAAACTCACTGTTCTTGGTAAGACACTGAATAACTAATGGCGTCAGTTGTTCTTTCAGATTGTTAATATTCCATTTCCACAACATGCTTGTCAGCAAGGTCTCACCGGCCCAGATATTGAGCGGTATAGTCCACCACTCACAGTAAATTGGCAGCTCTGATTCACTTCATGTGGTGTGGAGTGTTCCATATCAATGGGAATTTTGAATCAACTGTCTCCGTGATCCCTAACAAGGAAGTGAGACAAGAGGATTTGAATCGTAAAACTCATTCCACGGAATTATTATTAGTCTTCAGAGATTCAACAGCAATGTCATTGACTGCAATTAGTTCCCTCTCGGTTCATAGCAATTTCCCAGCACTATTTTACCAGCTACACTCAACATCCCCTCCCCCAAGATATCCTACTAATTGCTTTCTTTTCTGATTATATTTAAATCAATTCTTAGTTCTCGAAGTCACACCTTCCCAGCCTATTCTGCACGATCACCGCAATTGACTTAATGTACTTTCTGAAGTGTTCATTCTGCATTCAATTAAGCAATACCTTGAATAAAAAGTAATAAGTAAAGCTGTGTTAGCAGACCAGTGGGATCTGTCATATCTTCACAGCTAAAAATAGAAATCTTTTCCCATTGGAAAGATATAACAAAATGATGACTATATTTGGAGATGCTTCATCTCTGTGTTATATTTGATGCAGTTAGTGTACCACATAGTGTCCATTAAAACATTTTATCTCGAGCACTAATGCATGCAAAGGGCACTACCATTAGCAGAGATGTTTTAGCCAAGGGACGAAGCATCATTCTTTAAGCTGCTTCGTATGCAATAGCCAAATTAATTTCATTATAGAAGAAGCTTCCTTCTGTAACAAACCTTTCTTTGATCATGGTTGGAGCTTTGCTCTGTTCGGAAATGATGAAGGAGACGTCAAATCGATCTCAATTGTGCGTCTCAGTGTTTGTGAGCTTGGGGCAATTTCTGCCCATTTTCTTCCATGTAGCCTTTGCAAGAATCCCCATTAATAGAATTGACTATGTTCCTTATGTTTTTGGTAATGTGATTTGACTGTAATTATCAATGTAACAAAAAAATGAGCCAGAGGAAACGTGCCAAAGTCTGAAAGGTAATGCAAATTTAAAGGAACTTAGCGTTCAAGCAATTGAGCAGAATTGTACAACTTTTGTACTATCGCGTGCATCTTCCTACAAGACAGTTATGGAATAGTATAAACTGCAAGGGACTCAGAATTGTTTTGAACTCTTTCCCCCCCCACCCACTCACCCCCATCACTTTCATGAAACCTTTCATTGAATCATGCATCACCTCATTTAAGCTCTCGAGTGGATTGTAAGATGCAGAGGAGATTGGTTTGATCGGTAGCTCGCCTAGTTCTCTCGACTGATGGATAGACACTGCATATGGAAAGCTCCCAGAATCCACCCAATTACCTCATTTTAAACCAGAGAGGCAAAGGGTGGTTAAAGGAGGAAAATGAGCATCACAGACTTCCCATGAGAAGTTGTCACTTATTTTGCATTTTTAAAAAAGAAAAGAAAAGCAAAAGTGACTAAGATATCTCCTACACTGAAGGGGTGTCTTTATTTGAATAACAGAAAACTCTTTCACTTGAAACTTATCTTCAAACTAGTGCCAAGTGGAAGATGAATGCCTAGAAGAAAAACATTCCTTGCATTTGATGTCGTTGAAGCATCTCAAAGCACTTCACACAATATACTGTAAAATGAATTGACTATATTTTGTGAGAGTAATATACATCACTAAGCTACATCACCCATCCTTATATGAATACAAATAAAGGTCTGACTTGCGCTGACTGTCCTTTTAAATGCAGAGGCCCAAAATTCTCATGGTCCTACTTTCAAGACCATTGTCTTAAAATATACATTTTGGCAGATTTTTGGAAAATCCTTGAATTCATTCTTACTTTGGGAAGCCACGAAAAGAACGGCTCCCAAATTATGACTTCTCCAAAATTCTCCAAATTCTCCAAAGTTCTGTAGAATAAGGATGGGATTAGGATCGGGTGATTTTTTTCCAAGGATGCCTAACTGGTGGGGTGGGAGGGGGTTGGAAAAAGGCCAAAGGGTAGCGTCTCGCTCTCAGAAAACGCAATTCGCACTTCCCACCCCATTTGGAAACGTCGTAAATGGACCTTGTTGTGAGATTGAAGCTCGAGTCAATTTCATCTGAACCCAACGATTTGTGTTGTTTTTTATATCATACGGTAGTTGTTGGTTATGACAGAGGGACCAATATTAAAGGGCAGCTACACACCGATGAGTTCATCTGTCATAAATCCGGAAGCGTGAATCTGAAACAATATATCAATCCCATCTGAACCTGGAGATGAAACACATCTTTGAAACACAGACCAGCTTTTGTTCTTCTGTGTAATCCATTTGCGCAGTTGGCATTGGTGACGATGGAGATCGTTCCACTTTTGTCAGCCTCTTTCATTGCTGGTGACAGCTGTCATACTGGATGGTGACAGACGGCTGAGTCTTCCGATCAAATAACATGAGTGAAGCTGAAATGCTTTAACACCAAATGATTCTAACTTGTGATATCAGATTGAATATCCCTGGGTGTTCCAGAGATATTGTGCACTTCACATGTGGCTTTCATTAAATTTTTACTTATGGTTATGGTTGCAGTAAACTCAGTGGAGAGCATGGAGTTTAGCATTGTCTGCTCATCTGAAGAGTTAGCTTGCAGAATCGTAGATTTAAATTCGCTCCAATGTCAGAATACCAATCGCAAAAACTGGAGCAGTGTTTTTTTATGTATAAATCATTTCTTACGTTGTCAGACTCCGCCACTGTGAAATGCTCCAGGACCCTACCCCACAGGAATAACGCTATATAAATGCAAGTTATTGTTGTGCATTTGGTAGTATCCCGAACTCTTTTCAATTGTTCTGTTTACGAGCATAATTTGGACATATATGTGGCATCTCCACGGGTGCCAGTCTTCACACCTAATGCTGATTTTAATCATTTTAAAATAATAATAATCCTTGCATTTGATATAGCGCCTCATCACGCCGATGAGACGTCTCAAAGCGCTTTACAGAATATATTGTACAGTGGATTGACTGCGTATTTTGTGGACAAATTTTCTTAGTTCAAAGACATGCAAGTTAATATCGAGTGTAGAACTAGAGATTCGTAGTCAGAGATTAATATATTCCTTTGGTACAAAACTGAGTTGCCTCGCTAAACTACATAAAAGCCACTGGATCATGCAACCTAATGATATTAAACCGATTCATTGGATACATAATGTATGTGGGCAAAGTGCTTCTTGTTTAATGGATGTGGACAAAACGTTTTAGAACCTTAGAAAATGTAATTCAAATCCTGTGGTGACCAATTTGCAATTGGATCAGCTGGTTAGATGGCTTCCCCTTATTCATAAGTTGCTGCACATGGTACATTAGAATTCCATATACTGTATATGTTAAGAGCTTTGAGAAGTCCTCCCAATACAAATAAATGTAAATTGCATTGTATTCTACACTGGTAACTGCAGGACTGGTAAGTTTAATGGCACTTGATTGAGGTGTTCAAAGTAATCGAGGGGATTGACAAGCTAGACAGTGGATGAGTTTTCTCTCTGGTAGAGAGATGCAAAACAAGGAGACATCATCTTAAAATTATAGCTGAGCCAATTAGAAGTAAAGTCCAAATACATTTCTTGAGACTCGTGCTTGTGAAGATCATAAATGTAGATTCAATGGGAATGTTCTAAAAGGGAGCTAGATGCTCGGGAAGTAAAGAGGAGATGAAAGAGTTTGGAGGAAAGGCAGAGAGAAGGGAGTAAAAGATGTCCCACACTCTAATAGCCAGTTGGAACAGGCTCGGTGGGCTGAACAGTTTACTTTTATTCCTCGGTACTTGCTCAGATATGACCGACCTTATCCATTGGGGTTAAGACTGGGAGGGTTGAAGGGAACAAAATGACATTGCATGTTCAATAACAATGGGTTTGCACTGCATTGTCCTTGGAGCCATTTGAACCCCAGGGAAATCCCAATTTCCTTGCATGTCTTACGAGCTTCGTCTACACTACACTAGCTTTGCTTGCAACCAAAGGATCCAATGTGGAATGTAGATTTCAGTATTATTATACTTTATATTATATTATTATACTTTATATTATACTATTATACTTTAGGTTATTATTATACTTTAGTTATATTATTATACTTTATATAACAATAGGAAATCCCCCCAAAATATGTCCGTGGTTTTCTCTGTCCCTACTTTGTTGCAGAATATATTAGTGCAGATGTATCTCTCCAGAGGTGTGCGATTTGCTCTGTTGCTACCTTGTTGCATTTATACCACATATTTTGGGGCTTAATTAAAGTATTTTTTAAAAAATATAGCTCATCAACGATAGGAGATCCTCGAACAAAAATATGCCCACGACACTCACACATGCAAGACCTTTCTGGTGAGGTATAAATCATGTCTCTACGTCAATCGGTTATTGAGATCGTGACTGATACACCCCCCACACCACCCCCCCTCTCCCCCCCCCCCCCCCCACACACACACACACACGCGCAGACATTGTTGTTTTATTAGTAAGATTTTAGATTGGTAATGATTTATTGAGCCTCAGAAGAGTGAAAGATGATGAAGCCACTTCTTTCTATCAGCCCATGTTGACTTTGGGAATAATCATAATAATAACTGAAATGTCGTTTCATTGTACGGGATATGGAAGAATAAAATTGTTTCCCTTTATTTCTTGTAAAATCGTCAGACCGATGAAAAGTGACAATTTCTTCCACAATAGGTTAATCTACAAAACGCAGTTTTGTCCTGGTATAGTCAGAAACATCAGGCAACACGTCGGAAAAATTAACATTTACCCACAAGCGAAGTGTACCCTTTTACCATTGCAGTAAATGTTTCTACTGTGCAGGCAGGTTTAAGTAGATTGCATCTGAAAGGACTGCAGGGCATGTTGTAGAACAAATA